TATATATTTTTGGAAGGTATGAATTCTTAAGATATTTTTTCCATAATATATATATATATATATATATATATATATATATATATATATATAAAACTGTAGATAGCAAGTATCAGATGAAAACTAGGGTTAGTGTTGGAATTGTCAACCGTCGGCCAAAGGAGATCGAGCTTGGAATGGTCTTGAAACTCACCTATTGTCAATCTCTCTCTCTCACTTCGATTTCTTTCACAACTCCGTCCATACATCTATGTCCTCTCTTTCTGTTCAAACTAGAGCCAAAACTTTAGCTTTACAAATACTCCCAATGACGTCTTATGTTCAGATTTGAAGTCAAAGGCTTGAGAAGCCTCCATTCTCTACGCCACCAAGAATCATAGAGTGAGAATTGTAAACGAACCCTAACCCATGATAGTAGCATAAATTGTAGAGCGAGTTTGAGATTGAGGCTTAGTTCCGTGAACTTGAGCTTCGCTGGGTGATCGGTTAGTCAATCATACATCAACCTTCGCAATAGCATGAATCATTGTAAAATAGGGCTATTGGTCGGGTAAGTCGAACCACTGGGACTGCGCTAGTCTAAGGCAACCTAAATGTCTAGAATCATTCTTAGAATGATAAGGGGTAATAAGGGTTTGTTTGTTTGTCACTAAACTAGAAATGTAAAGATGCATAAACTAAGAACTTGCAAGAATTTAAGAGATGAAAGACGAGTAAAGAAGACTAAGGAAGTGAATCCGCCTCCATCCCTATACACATGCTAGATTAGACCTAAATTAGGGGAAAAACAACATATGATGGTCAAGAACTACATAGCAACACATAGGGTAAACAAGAGGTAAACATGTTTAGACATGTAAGTAATCAAGAGGTACATTAGGTCTCAAACAAGTATAATCCATCAAAAGGGTAAACATGTTTAGACTACCTAACTAAGGTGTAGCTTATACACGTTTACTTAAATGAAAGACTATCAAATTCTTGACAAAATGATGAAGCACATAGAGCTAGAGATTAAGCATACACCATCAAAGGATTTCCTAAGCAATGGTCTATCAAAGTCACCTATCAACATGCCATTAAATCATTTCATAACCTTGTTTCCATTCTCACCATGTAAACTCAAGCAAAAAGATTAATACAAGACATCACCTAACATAAGATAATGAGCTTGAAGAAATCATCCATACATATATAAACATTCATTACACCAAATGAAGTGCTCTTAGCTATGAAAAAGACCATAAATATACATTGCAATCCCCCAATATAGACTACCCTAGGACATGCTTACAAGGGAGGGACTTCATCACCTCCCTAGAGAAAGAGTTAGTTACCCATTGCTAAGCTAGAAGAAGGAAGAAGCTCCATCCAAGACTCCATTTTTGTGCTCCTTCCTTTGCTTGAAGAACTCACCTTTTTTTTTTGCTCTCTTCTCTCTCCTCCATCTTGTAAAAATGAAGGTTCATAAAGATATGTGTGGCTCCCCTCCTTTGTAGACATCTTATCCACCCAAAAAGGCCACCAACCAACATCTCCAACCAACCATTAAAGAGGAAAATTAGAATTGAGGAACCCAAGATGCAAGTGGCTGAAAATGGGCCATTTCCGGATGCAATTCTGCCCCAATTTTGAGCACTCGCAATAAGGGCTCGAGCACTCGAAATTGGAGCAGAATGCTCCATTCTTGCCTTGTTCCGCCCGGACCTACTTTGGTAAAACGGCCATAAATTTGTGCTCCAAACTCCGAATGATGAACCGTTTGAAGATTTGGAAAGCTAATTCAGGGGTCTAAAAACTTTATGTTTTGGTAGAGATCCAATTATCAAGTCTGGTTGGTCGAAATTGAAGAACAAGGCAGAACTTCATTGCTGCCAGGCAGTTCTGAGCACCTATGATAAGAAGATCATAACTCTCTGCTCTGAACTCCGAATGATGAACCACTTGAATATTTGGAAAGCTGATTCAGAGCTCTAAATATGTCATGTTATGATGGAAGTCCAGTTCTCAAGTTTTCAAGGTCAAAATGGCGAGCAAAGTTCAGGATCTACTGCTGCCAGAAATTCAGCCTTGTGCCTTTTGATGGCCAAAACTCCACAAAGCATCCTTCTTGCTTCTTTTTGGCCAATGGACCTGAAAATATACAAAAACATGCAAATGAAAGTAATCTACATAATATAAACAAACAATGGACTTAAATAATGCAATTAAGGGCACTTGAATATGCAATATTCGGCGCTTATCACTGCGTCGGCCTTAATGAGGACCGAGAAGGAAGAGGGGATTTTAGGTAATACTATAATGGTGATGGGTAGCAAAGAACATGGAGAAAAGGAGAGAACAATTTGTAGTTTGAAAGCAGAGAGAGGTATTTTTGATTCTTCCTGTCAATTTTTTCTTTCTTTCTTCATAATATTATATATCTTATTTTCTTCTCCATTCCATATATATTTTGATAAAAATATGAATAGTGTAATTTTGAGGGTTATCAAATACCAAGCAAATTCTGCTTTATTTTCCTTTCCTCCATTATATGTTTCTTGTTTTTAAGAATACATACAAATTTGTAGGACAATTTGCATCAGTAAAAAAAAAAAAATGAAACACATGCTCATCGATATATGCACGGAAGTATTAGACAAACATCAAATATTGTATATACTTAAATTTATATGTAGTGGATATGGATACTTCTAGTGCATAGGCTGTGATCAATTAGTACAAATTTGCTGAGATATATTATTTTGGTAAACTTTCTCTGTTAGTACCTTTTGTTATGTGGATCCTGCTTAGAATAACTTTGGGGATTCATTTTCAGTGTGCACTTTTAATTAAATTGTTCATAGATCCACTTCTTAGATCATAAACTTTGACCATATTCGTTCTTTTTTTCATATTCTTAACTTAAACAATGGAGATTAAAAAATCATTTGTGTGATGTTACCTGATGAGGTAACATAATCTTTCTATAATCAAACAAAAGCTAAACATGCAGCACTAGAGCATTGCTTGCACCAGAGCATTGCTTGCCCTCTTTCAAATTACTGTAATATTTTCCTTCTGTTATTTTTGGGTCCCATTTTTAGTTCCTGATAATTTGTTATGTTTTAATTGTAGGATACAATTCTTCTAGATCTCAGCTATAGCTCAAGAGGTATTTTTTTAGTGATGTCAAATTTTGTAAAATTAAAATTTCATATAGATTAATTGATTCTTTATAGGGAAAGATACACTTGTAGGGATTATACTGTATGTAGTTTAAATTTTACTATAAATTAGGTTTATATTCATTTTGTTTTATACACATTTTTATGTATGGATTTATGAATATAGAACATAGTAATATATTAATATAAATGTGTATACCAAGTCAAAAATGTCATCTCTTATTTTAGATCACTTGTAAGCCAATTTTGTTTTTTTTAATTATTTGTTCTTATATGATCGCATTTTGTTAAACTTCATAGATGGATATGAATGATGAACACGATGAAGAACTTAATCTCATTGTTACAATGCTTGTTGGCATTGTAGCTTATTTGCATGGGGTATACTAGTTAACACACTTTGATAGGAGGCCACAACGTAATTGTTATTTGACTCAACGTGAATTTGTCAATGATGTCACACGATCCAATGAACATTGTCATAACTTATTGCGCATGAATGTGGAATCCTTTCAAAGATTTGTATATATATTTAGAAGAACCGGGAGGCTGAAAGACACTGTGCATTGTAGTATTGAGGAGCAACTTGCAATGTTTTTACACATTGTATCTCATAATTTTAAGAATCGTAGTGCAAAATTTTATTTTAAGCGATCCGATGAAACCATATCTCGACATTTCAATACAGTCTTAGATGCAATCATAGGCATGTAAGACAACTTTTTAAAACAACCTACTATTGGAACAAAGACGCCTAATGAGATTTGTGACAACAATAGAATGTGGCCATATTTTAAGGTATTTTCTTACTAAAAGAAATTAACTTATTAATTAAGAATACATATTTTTTTAACTCACAGGTCATTCCCTTATTATAGGATTGTGTGGGAGCAATTGATGGTACACATCTCCCCGCAAAAGTTCTCATTGAATATGTAGCAAGATTCCGTGGTAGAAAATAGTGGCCCTCATAAAATGTATTAGCAGCATGCACATTTGATTTAAAATTCACTTATGTGTTAGCTGGATGGAAAGGTTCAGCAGCCGATTCTAGAATTTTACATTGTGCTACGCACAGAGGACATAAACTTACATATCCTCCAGGTATATATATAAGTTAATAGTATTCAGAAACATTTTTTTAATTTATAATAATTTACTAAAATTACGTGTTGTAATTTGTATAGGTAAATACTACTTGGTAGATGTAGGCTTTCCTTTTGTGGAGCATTATATTACCCCATTCAGAAGTACATGATATCACCTAAACGAAATATAAGGACGTGTACCTAGAACGCCAAAAGATTGTTCAACCATAGGCATTCTTCTTTACGGAACGCAATTGAACAAGCCTTTGGGGTGTTAAAAAAACATTTTCGTATCCTAGTGGATGAACCAATGTTTAGTTTTGAAAATCAAGTGAAGTTGGTAATCGCTTGTTGTATAATACACAACCACATTCGAGGAGTGATGTTGATCACGAGATTGGCACTCAATTAGCTCCTATTTATGATCATGTTGACAATCAATTGACTAAGGCTAAAGATGGAAGGGAAAGAAAGAGAATTCGAACACAAATAATGAATGAAATGTGGAATGATTTTAGTAGTAGACACTGATAGGATTTTTATTGATGTGTATTTTTTCTTTGTTGAAAACTTGTGTGGTTTTGATTGTTAGACAATTTTATTATTGGAATGTAAATATGTTTTTATTTTATTTTATCATCATAGTATTTAATTGTTGATTATATTAATTGTAGTTTTCTAGTCATTTTTCTTCCAATATAAATTTATTGCTTGTTGAATACATAATTATGAGCATTTTATATTAGGAATGGAGCAAGACGGGTTTAATTGTCACATTGGAGATGCCAAGCAAAAGGGAAAGAATGTAATATGGTCAAAAGAGATGGATCAATGTCTTATTTTGGAACTTGTGCATCAAGCTAACGAGGGTTATAAGATAGATAAAGGTTTTAAAGATAATGCTTATACTGCAGCTTTTTCAGTGTTAAATTCAAAATTTCACTTGTCACTAAATCGAGAGTATTGTGTTAATCGCTTAAAGACTATCAAGAAAAAGTATAGATTCATTAAGGAAATGTTAAGCAAAACTGGATTTGGTTGGAATCTAGTGATGAAAATGGTGGAATGCAGCGACCAAGTGTGGACTACATATGTTGCAGTATGTAGATGTTTAAAGTAAAGTTTTAATTGATAATATATTTCTTAGTTTATTTGTATAGCATGCTATTTTGAACATAGTAGTGTTTTTCAATTTAATTATGTATTGTAATATATGCCACAATTTACTTCAGTCATCACTAATTAAATAGGAATAAATAAAGGGAGAAAAGAGGTGCAATATGTCTGTTTATACTTTGAATATACTATGAGCAAGTCACTATTCTAAGCACAACCTAACAGGAATTTATTGAATCTTATCTTCCATAGTTTCATGAAAGGGTGCTTCCAAATGCAGAACTCTGTCTTCTTGTTCCTAAAGTGACCAAAAAGAGTCTACCTGAATGTGATACTTGAAAGTTGCAATTAAACAGTTTCGTATAAAAGCTTTCACAATTTTGTATCTTGTGTAAAATCTTGAGCTTGGATATATAAGCAAAAAGTGGGTAATTGTTTGGAAGATTAAAAAAATTGTGTTGTACACATTTCAAACCATAGTTACAGTACAATTATGTATGAAACAGTTTCTTAAATGTGTGTCTCTCATTATTGTAAGGATAAATTAGTTGCTGCTAATATTTAAAAAGCAAGTATTGAAAGATATACATGGATTTATATTGATATTTTTCTTTAGTATTTTTTTTTTATTAAAGATATACATGGATTCATATTGATATTTTTCTTTTGTATATATATTTTTTGTTTGAAAACATTAATTAGGCGAATCCCGATGCAAAAGGTTTACAAGGTAAGAGAATTGACATGCTTGATGAATTGGCTATAGTTTGTGGCAATGATTATGCAACTGGAGAATGGGCTAATTCAGCCAAAGATATAAATGCTAAGAAGTCAAAACCAATGAATGACACTGGGGAGGAATATACACCATTAGTGGACATTAATGAAGAAGTTAACATAGATGACTTAGGTGATACCGAAGAAAATTATTCTGCTAGTGAGCAAGGTAATGCAGGTAACATGATGAGTGGTATTTTCTTTTGCTTTGGCCCATACTTGAAATGCCTTAATTATTTGCACATACATCTTCTATTAATATTACTAACCCGTTTTTTTTTTAAAGGTAGTGCAGGTAGCCAACCAACTGGATGTAAAGATAACCAAGGAACTTCAAGCTCATCTAAACGTCGTTTGAAGAAACCGCGAACCATGGATAATGTTACTAAAACCATGAGTGCAATTTCAAATAACATGGCAAGATTAGATGATGCATATGAGAAGAGCAAGCCTTGCATAAATTATTCGGAACTTTATAAGGCTATAATGGATGTTGAGGAGCTTGATCTCAATAGCCGAATGACTTCATTTGAATTCTAATATGCAGATCCTGTCAAAGCGAGAACCTTTTTGATCTATTCTCCAGAGATGAGTTACTTATTTTTAATTAGACAACTGATACCAAATGATCACTCTACTACTGATTAATGATTAAACTAAGTTAGCATTCTTATGAAGCACTTGGGAACCTTTGACTTGGTTATGTAATTCATTTTTTTTCTACTTAGTCTACTAAAGTCATTGTCAAAAATTATGGTTAATGATTTGCCTTTGACTTGGTATTAACGGAAAGCTACTAGTAATGGTGTGTATCATCATTATCTTGAGAAACTTTAACCAAAAATAAAAAAATAAAAAAGAAAAAACAATTCCTATCTACCATCAAACATTATCTTGGAATAAATAATTAAATCTACATTATCTTAACATAATCTATCCATAGACTTTTAATTTTTAACAAAAAAAATAAATAAAATTAACATAAATTAGATATGTATAGAAAACGAATACAAGCTTATTTTCTCACCTTCAAAAATAAAAGATCAAGAATTCAAGTAAATATATATACACACACACACAATTATATAAACGAGAATGCAAAAAATTGTATTATGATATCACATGCTATCCTATTCCATATTTCACTAATACTATTCCTCTAACACAAATTTATTTATTTTTATACTATTTAAATTTATAAGGGTATTTTCGGTAAGTGAAATCATTTTCTTTTCCTTTCTTGCTATTCAAACTATCAAAATAAGATTTTCTCACAACTTTCTTCAAAAATTTTCCGGCTAACCAAATGCATTATAGAAACTTGATTTTCCTTTCTTTCACTTCACTTTCTTTCACTTTCCATAAAATTTTCCGTCTAACCAAATGGACTCCAAAGGGGGAATAACTTCACGAACAAGTGGGAATTCCCTGAAATAAAAACACCCGTACGATATTTAGCACGACGGATTAACCGCCGACACTTTTATTTGTGCGGTGGTTTCAAATATAATAGGCAGAAAAGACCAATTTTGAAGAACAGCCTCTGCAACTGTTGCATCAGTTGTAAACTCCAATGGTGTAATACCCCTATATTTTAAAGAATTATTTAATTAAATTAATTGCCTTTAAATGAATTTAATGGATTTAGTTATTTAAAATTAATTATTTGTTTACTTGTTTATTTGATTTATTGGTATGATGATGTGATAGATTGTTGATTGATTTGTTGGCGTGTTGATTTTTATTTATATGATATGACTTGGTTGTTAATTCTTATTTGATTATTTGGTACATGTTTTTAGTTGTTTTAATATTAAGTGTTTATTTATTTAATTATTTGTTTAAATTTAATGAATTGGGTTTAGATTATTTGGACTAAAGGATTTGGGTCTTGGGCTGGAGAAGGAAGCCTTAAAGGATTTGGGATGGTTTATAGGCCCATGGATTTATGCATGAGTAAATCTATATATATATATTATGCATATTAAATGGATAATATATATATAATTATATAGAGAATTATATATTTATAGTAAGTATATATGTATAGGACTTTACGCATATATATAGTAAGTATAGCTAAAAAGGATTTATAAATATATATTACATAATATTTATATTTATATTTATATGTGTCATGTATATTAATATAACTGGAGTCCTACATGAAGGAGGATTTGATTTGGCAACATATGTTATTTATTTTTATTGGGTGAGGAATATATATGTAATAATAATTATATATATATAATATAATATACGTGTATATATTTTATTTAAGATTATTATTAGTATTTTTATTTGGGTAGTCATACTAGGAATAGGATTAGGGTATTAATGTGTATAAATATACACATAAGGTTATATTATTAAAAAGTTTTCCACGTTAGAAAAAAAAAAAAAAAAAAGAGAAGCAGAGAAAAAGAAGAAGATAAGGCTGACAAATAAAGGTCGGATCACAGAAAGAGGACGTCGGATTTGGAAGAGACAACCAAGGTTGAAGCGTCGTTTTCGTTTCGAATTTTTCAGGCAAGTTCTTTTTTAACTCTCCTCTTAGAACCCATAAGTTTATCACCTTGGGTATCAAAATCTATAGATTAAATTGGCATGTTAATCACCTAGATATATGATAAATGCATGTGAAGAAATTGATTAGTAGAAAAGAAAGAATCCTTCTTCAACTAGGAAACTTTCTTCAATTCCCGTTTTAGTATTCTATCTATATCTCTTTGCTCGAGTGCCAAAACGGCTCAAATCTAGTTTGGTTGAATGGAAATTCGATTATCTACAATTTTGTATTTCACGAAAATTTCGTGAAACGGATGTTTACTTTGTCAAAACTGGGTTGGAAGATAGTACGAATTTTGTATATGTATATCTTATCCCATAATTGTTTTAACCAATTAGGATAATTTGTATTGGTTGGGTGTTGACCAAATAATTCTTAATATTTATATTTAATGTGTAACGTATTATTTGGACATTGCTAAATTGTGTAACCTACGTGTATATACGCCTACGTGTTATACTGCCCCATATAAATAAGTAAATATAACCTAATCAACTAATAAGTTGTTTATTGATATTTATCATATTTATATATGTGATGGTGGTGTTAATGAAATCATAATAGGTTGTTTATTTAAATTAATTATATGCTTATAACTTGCATGGAGTGCCTATGTGTGATTTATTTCATAATTAATTGTAAAGCTTGGTACATGGTTAAATTGGAGGCATGGATAAGTTACTAAAGGTATAAATAAATTGTCTTATTAGTTATATGAATAAAATACATACATGGAAAGTATGGATGAATTACTAATTAATAGTATGGATAAAAACATACGTTTGGAGGCATGAATGAGTTGCCAAGACAAACAGATTGTCATTTAATAGGCATGGTTGATTTGCCAAAGTATAAATGTATTACTTGTAGAGACATGGTTAAGTTGCTATCGTATAAATAAATATACTTCTAAAGGCATGGTTGATTTGCCAAAACATAAATAAATATTTGTGGAGGCATGGATGATTTGCCAAAATATAAATGAATTGCTAGATAAGTTAAATGATTAGATATACATATATGGATATTGTGTTTATAAGTTGGAGGTGATAAATATTCTTATATTATAATAAACTAATGTTTAAAGTATAATATTTTATTTTATAGTATTGATAAAATAATATTAGTGAAGGCATGGATGAGTTGCCAAAATATAAATCTTTGTTATGTGATATTTATAAATAAAATCATACATTGGTGGATATTGGGATTTGGATTGAAGGAAAATATTTCTTGGATTATTATTTATTATTTAAATGGTTAAATAACTGTTTAAATATGAAATTTAGGTTTAAATGAGTTTTCTTTTAAAAGGGGAATGTAGTTGATGGTTAATTTAAATATGGAGGTAGTCTTATCATTGTTTATGGTCGTGGATTTCAAGGATTATATTAACGAACATATTCTTTATATATTTATATATATTATATATGTATCATCTTATATTAAAGGTTAAAATTTTAATTTGGATGATTTTAGTTAGAGATGTTTTATTTATTGGTTTTCTGAGGCTTGGTAGATGGAACTTGCTCGTGGGTCTAACTCACGATTTATTTTTCAGGTTATCAGAAGTTCCAGTCTCGAGGTTGAGGATTCGCAGCTAGGAGACTGTCATTCATCTACTCATCTTGTTTACTTTTTAGTATTGTTATTTATTGTTAGATGTCTGGTGAATTAATAGTTTATGGTTTAGGAGTTCTTGACTTATAGGATTTCCGAGTTGTATTTTAGTATTTTAAATTCATGAAATTTATTTTTGTAAAGGAGGATTTATTTTATTAATAGAATTTCATTCAGCGATTTATTTATTCTTTTTATTCTTCTTGTATTCTGTGTTTGTTTAAATATTAAATTATTTTGATATTCCAGTATTTTTGGGTATGGGCCTGTGTGATACCCCCACATTTTTCACGTATAAGTTGATCAGGCTTATACATGAAAAATGAGGGATATCAAAAACAATTGGTAATATACAAGCATGGAATACAAAATGATAATAATAGAAGAACTTAGACAGGAAAGGAAAACTCGATAATAAAACATCCATCCATCCTTTATTAAATTCAATACTCCGTTATACAACTTGTAAATCCTATGTCAAGGATACCTATATATAAACTTGAAAGTTCAATGTCGGAAGTAAATAAAACTGAAAGCAAAATAATACATAAAACTTCTATTCTGAACGAGATCGTAAGAGTAAATGAGTTCGGATGGTGGTCCCACATTGCTAAGCCTCAACCTGGAAACGGGTACTGACCGTGTCCTGAAATAACAACAATGGTGGGTCAATCCCACGAGCAAGTCCTCTCTACTATGACCTAAATCAGAGAATCAAATAAATTAATCATTATTATTCAGAAGTATACTATATCTGTATACACCCTAATGAAACTACACAATGTATAATATGACCTCAACCAGAATAGATGGTGATCACTTAGACTCACATAAGGTGGTTAAGTGTCTCATTTCCCTACCTGAGAAATCAGCTATTAATACATGGTGCACGGTACTGACAACACAGACTATAAGTCCTAACAGTGGTAACACATCTCAAGGTATCAATGAATATACTGAACATATCACTTAGGCAACACATGCCAATAATATTAAACCACATACCCCGACAGTCACACAGCTGTCTATGGCAACGAATGCATAAGGTATAAATGAGTCTCAATTTATTAGTCAGCTCACATGGTTTTATATGGCAACACATTCATATAATCTAAATGCGACATAATTTATTAAGTAGTCCATTTACCACCTGAAATGCGCACAGCATAATAATAATAATTTATATTTCATTAACAGCATAAATAATCCCATAATGTATGATGGACAATTTATATGAAGAAAATCATGCAATCATTTAATTTAGCATTAATGATTAATACCATTTAAAATAATAACACAATTAATATTTAAATATGTCATTAAATTAATTACATCCGTTAATAGCGATCCA